TGTGTGTGTGTGTGTGTGTGTGCGTGCGTGCGTGCGTGCATATATATATATATATGCACGCGTGCCAAGAATGATATTTCCTCTACATAAATTCAACTTGTACTAGTAGATAAATTCAAATTTTCTTCTCTTAAAACTACCCAAAAAACAAGATGAGGGATATCTAATGTTAATTAAACAGAAAATACATGTCCAAAAATCAAATAAGATTACTAATGCAACAACTCGTAAATACTGTATTTCTCCAGACTCCAAAGTGTCATAGATGCACTGCATTTGTAACCAAATTGGAATCTGACATGAATGCAGGACTACAGATAACAAATTTTGAATTGTTTTTCTTAACTAAGACTAATTTAACAAACTGATTTAGGTGTTGTTCAATAATACACATTTATCATTTTAAGTTTTTCTTTTTGAAATATATTTTACCAATCATGGTCTTCAATACAAATTAGTTGGAATTTGTTTTGCCAAGTTAAGTTCAGCCAGCTCCACTACACATGTTCCATTTGAATGGATGTTTAGGGCAGTTTTCTTTTCTTGTGTTCAGCAATGATTTAATTAAGTTTTAAATAGTCCACTTGATTTACAAACACAAATGCAATCTAAGAAAGCAGAATTTATAATTAAATTAATCAAGATACATACCAGCCCCTGCTTCCTACATAGTGAAATTTCAAACAAAAAGGCTTTGTGAGAAACTGTTTTGAAAAAGGAATTAAAAATACCTCATTTCTTTTTTAGAATTTTAATTTTGTTGTTGACGTTGAACAGAAAGTTTCATTTTATATATCCAGTCAACATGGTGCCTGCAGCTAGCAACTGACCAAATCTAAGACCTTTTATAACCGATCCTTAGAATTTAGACCTATTTTCACATCAAGTTGACCACAAAATGTGGAAAATATTAATGAATCATTCAAATACCCTCTATACATTATTTATTAAAATCTCAATACACTGAATCTCTATTACAAAAAAAAAAAGGTTTGTCGTAGTTTGTTGTCTTTGATAAGTACTTTAGTTCTTCAATACTTATTTTCTAGTTCTACATTCAAATCTTCAACACACATAACTTCTCCTTTGTTCTTCTTCTCATAGTGTTTCACTTTGTGATGAATTCTTCCATATTGCTTCTTGTCATGCTTTCTGCTTGTTCAACAAATCTATCAACATATGCTCCCAAGTTTTCACAAATCGAGGCCTGCTATAGCTAATTATGTGTTATTACAACTGTGTATGCAAGTGATTCTGCTTGGAAAACAAGTGCCCAAGCTACGTCGGTTACAAGGACCGAGATGTAGAAGCCAAGAATGAGTGCTCCCAAGCCTTCATCATTGCTTACCCTGAGGCAAAATGGACACATTTTTGCAAGAGGGGCCTATCTGGAATGTGAAAGGAAGAAGAAAATAACAGAACAATAAGATTAAGATAGGAAGCAAATTGAAGAAGTTAAAATATTGAAGAAGAGGAAGACTGTATAGTGCAAGTCCCGGTGCCATGTCACCATAGTGACAAAGTATTTCATTGTGGTACCTAGTATTTTCTCCCATTTTAATTGTGTGTGGGGCTGTGCTAAATAGAACTTGAATCTACTATAGTTCTGGATTCATTCTTTGAGTCCTAAATTGAACTATGTTTCTACAATTTATTGGCAGATTCAGCACTTCATGTTTTTTCAGAAGTGAAGCTCTGCAGTTCCACAACACATTACTAATTTCACACCATTTTGTTTTTCTTCTTTCTCTTAACTCAACCAAACAGTGTGTTTAGACCTAAAACCTGACCTTTCAAATTAGCATCATCCTTACCTCTGTCAGGCTACACATCAATATTTTAGCTAAAAATATTCTTATTTGAAATAAATTTATATTTAATAAATATTACTTATTGAAAAGGTATTATAAGCTATGTAAATATTGTTACTAAATACAATAAACAACAATACTACATTTTCATTGTAATATTTTCCCCATCACCTACAGTACTCACTAAACCAAATTAAGTTTACTGGATATTTTGCAATAGAAAATTTCCACAGCTTTTAAAAAAGGTACATTTTCACGCAAAAAAAAACTGCTGGAATACAATGAACATCTGTAAAAAGCATAAATTGTTCCTAAGTCTTCTAAACTTACCATTACAAATATATTATTCAACCTTACAGAAGTTCCATCTATTCAATTTCCCATAAAACTTTAAATAACTACTTATATCACTTTTATTCATTCTACAGTAACATAATAGCTTATAATCTGCTCTATCAAGTGGTAATTCAACTATGCCTGTAGCTATTTGCAAAGTTATGCTTCATTAATAATTGTTCAGACCACATGCTGCGACATCATAAAATGGTGGGTAAAACATAAGAAAAATCAAGCGAGTGAAGACATTAATAATCACATTTTCAAGGGATGATAGTTTCTTAGTAAATATAAACTATGTTTTCAGATTGGAAGAAAATTTCTTAAGGTACTCAATCTTTTTTGTAGGAATGCATGCAGGCTACCATCTTATGATGTTCCTTAAGTTCTCACTAGACAATTTATTGTTTTGTTACACTAGTTAAGACAGTTCAAAAAACAATAAAACAAATTAAATTAAAGCAGTGTAAAGAGATTAAGAAGCCTGAAGTAGAATCACCAACTACCAATCATAAAAAAAAATAAAGTTGTTTACAGGCAAAACTTCTCTTAGCTACACTGAAATGAAAGTTTGGAGAGGAAAATTCATTTCATTTGCGAGTTACACTGAAAAATGTTACAAATTACAAAATATCAATTCTGCAATACTTTTGAGTTAAATATTGTTGAAATAGTTATTTATTTTTTACTTAAATTTTTAAATTTGATATGAAGGTGTACAATCATCTGAAGGGTGTCCCTGCAGTTTGTATAGGGTTTAGGAGAGAAGGCCATAAAACAGTTTTCCCTTTTGTTATTCAAAATTTAATGAGTAAAACATTCTTGAGCTTAAACAATGATTACTTATTTAACCCTAAAATCATGAGTCAATCATTCAACTTCAGTGTTTTTGTGGCAACTTTGAACAAATAAAAAAAAAACCAATAGACCAATTTCTAATATAAAATTTTGCATCAGATTCATCAGATGGAAAGCAAAGTTTAAAAATAAATGTTAGAAACACAGTAGTACCCAAAGAATTCTTTAATTACAAATATTTCAGAATCATTTCAAATTCCATAATCAGCAATAAATCTTCAAAAACTTAATTCTTAACATTATCTTCCAAAAAATATCATTTATTAAGTGAAAAGTTTTTGATACAACATTTAAAAAGAGTACAGATTGAAATTGTAACAATATTATAGTACATACAATGAAACGTGAAGAAGACACCTCTTTAATACTGTCACTGAGACAACATTATAAAGTCTAATATGAATGTACAAGTCACTTGTATTAAAAAAAAAAAATCTTAAAATATGGAAGTAATTAGATTAATAACAGTAGGGATGAGTTGATATTATTCAGTGTTGGATGATAATTGAGAATGGAAAGTCTTTAATAAAAATGTTCATCATCTGTAGTTTAGTCTATTACTTCATAAATGCAATGAAACTCCCACTATTGTTTTAGTATTGAAGAAAAAGTCTTTCCACTGCGAGACTACTTTTGCTCAGGACCATTTCAGAATAGTTTTTAACATGTTCATAACATCTAGGACACACCATGCACTGACACTTTGTAGAAATAACAAAACATGTTCTTCAACTATTTATAACTTGTGACTCAATGTTTGAGATCTGATCAATCATAAAAGTCTATCAATCACTGAATGATACAAGAATGAGCAGTTACAATGAGTAGAACAAAGTATCTTACTATTCCTTCTGCTTCACAGATTTTTCCTATTTTAATAGAATTCTAATGTCTATGAATGACCACATTTTGTGACTAACTGACATCAAATGTAAGCATTTCTAATTTTTCTTAAAAAAACACATCACAATGAAATCTTTCCAAATTATATAAGCTGTAAATTAATACAAAAATCACATAAAAAATTTTAATTACAAAAGCTACATAAACTGTAAAATGTTTTCTAAACTTTCAAACTATTTCATTCACTAATTTGTCTTTTTTGCAATACAATAAAACAAACCATACAATAGGTGCATCAAATTAATACACCCAAGCAGGATAAGAGTTAAACAGTCAACTAAAAGCATACAAATAATATGAACAAATTTCTTAAGCTTTTGGTTCCCTTTAAATTTTTCAAATAGATAGCAATTTTTAATTTTATTATATGCATTAAATTTATGAACATTTACTCGATATTATCAGTTAGCAACAGGCTTTCCAAATCTATACACAAGCAATATATCAAGCAAATCTACTTGCACATTATGAGATTCTAGATTACTTACCGAAACAATTGCAACTTTCATCCATTCTGAACCTAAGTCAATTGACATAACCGCTACTGCATCAGCTATTTAGAACAAATTACATTTTAATATACGTACACACAAACATACCTCAAATATTGAGACACTAATAA